AACCCTTTCGCACGAAATGAGGGTCGATCGTCAAAAACTGAGGAAAAATTGCGAGTTTACTTGTCCCCGAGCAACCCTTTCGCACGAAATGAGGGTCGATCGTCAAAAACTGAGGAAAAATTGCGAGTTTACTTGTCCCCGAGCAACCCTTTCGCACGAAATGAAGGTCGATCGTCAAAAACTGCGGAAAAATTGCGATTTTACTTGTCCTGGAGCAACCCTTTCGCACGAAATGAGGGTCGATGCGCAAAAACTGAGCAAAAATTGCGAGTTTACTTGTGCCGGAGCAACCCTTTCGCACGAAATGAGGGCCGATGCACAAAAACTGAGGTAAAATTGCGATTTTACTTGTGCCGGACTTGTCTGTGCGTAAAAGCGTCTGTGTGTAAAAGCGTCTGTGTGTAAAAGCGTCTGTGTAAAAGCGTCTGTGTGTAAAAACATCTGTGTGTAAAAGCGTGTGTGTGTAAAAGCTTCTGTGTGTAAAAGCGTCTGTGTGTAAAGCTTCTGTGTTGTAAAAGGCGTCGTGTGTAAAAGAATCTGTGTGCAAACGAGTCTGCGTGCAAAAGCGTGGTGTGTAAAAGCGGCTGGGTGTAAAAGCGTCTGTGTGTAAAAGCGTCTGTGTGTAAAAGCGTCTGTGTGCAAAAGCGTCTGTGTGTAAAAGCGTGTGTGTGTGTGTGTAAAAGCTTCTGTGTGTAAAAGCCTGTGTGTAAAAGCCTCTGTGTGTAAAAGCGTCTGTGTGTAAAAGCAACTGTGTGTAAAAGTCTCTGTGTGTAAAAGCGTCTGTGTGTAAAAGCGTCTGTGTGTAAAAGCGTCTGTGTGTAAAAGCTTCTGTGTGTAAAAGCTTCTGTGTGTAAAAGCGTCTGTGTGTAAAAGTCTCTCTGTGTAAAAGTGTTTGTGTGTAAAAGTGTTTGTGTGTAAAATCGTCTGTGTAAGAGCGTCTGTGTGTAAAAATCTCTGTGTGTAAAAGCTGTGTGTAAAAGTGTTTGTGTGTAAAAGCGTAAAAGCTGTGTGTAAAAGTGTGTGTAAAAGCGTCTGTGTGTAAAAGCGCGTCTGTGTGTAAAAGCGTCTGTGTGTAAAAGCGTCTGTGTGTAAAAGCGTCTGTGTGTAAAAGCGTCTGTGTGTAAAAGCGTCTGTGTGTAAAAGCGTCTGTGTGTAAAAGCGCTGTGTGTAAAAGCGTCTGTGTGTAAAAGCTTCTGTGTGTAAAAGTGTTTGTATGTAAAAGTGTCTGTGTGTACAAGCTTCTGTGTGTAAAAGCTTCTGTGTGTAAAAGCGTCTGTGTGTAAAAGTCTCTCTGTGTAAAAGTGTTTGTGTGTAAAAGTGTTTGTGTGTAAAATCGTCTGTGTAAGAGCGTCTGTGTGTAAAAATCTCTGTGTGTAAAAGCGTGTGTGTGTGTCTCTGTGTGTAAAAGCTCTGTGTGTAAAAGCCTTGTGTGTAAAATCGTCTGCGGGTAAAAGCCTCTGTGTGTAAAAGTCTCTGTGTGTAAAAGTCTCTGTGTGTAAAAGTGTTTGTGTGTAAAAGCAAAATCTCTGTGTGTAAAAGCGTCTGTGTGTAAAAAGCGTCTGTGTGTAAAAGTCTCTGTGTGCAAAAGCGTCTGTGTGCAAAATCGTCTGTGTGTAAAAGCGTCTGTGTGTAAAAAGCGTCTGTGTGTAAAAGTCTCTGTGCAAAAGCGTCTGTCTGTAAAAAGTTCTGTGTATGAAAAACTTTACAAAAATACGATGCAAACTATTGTCTTGTACTAGTCATATATTGTCTTGATACTACTCTTCTCGTCTGCCTATAATACATCTGTAATATATTATCTTGTAATATAGTGTCTCCATACTAGCAACAGAAGACTCTGCTCCTCTACGCTCTCGGGCCATCCGTCGTCTAGTTAATACTAATTTTCAAACAAAAAAATAGTAATTATATGTAATTATTGTAATAGAATGAATAAACAAACACATCTCCGGCCTCTGCAGGCATTGCAGGCACCTCAGGCACCATAGGCACCTCAGGCAAGACCTCTGGTCCGTTCGGTGTGGCCTCCACAGGATGCATCCAAGTGCATCCGGCTGCGACCGTGCCATGATCACACAAAAACCAAGCGCCAACATCTTCGATCTTCGATCATCAATCATCTTCGATATCTTCGATGCTTCCACATCCACAGACTTAGATCATCTTAGATCCCATTTCTGCACAGACATACGAAAGCTGATGTCCTGTCAGTCTTGCACCTCGTCGTCCCCTGGCTTGGGCATGTTGAGGTCCTCACAGCAAAATCTGGCGGCTTCAATCCGTTCCTCCAAACCACGACTGGGGACAGTTGGTGAACGGTGGATAGTCAGGGTGGGAACTTCCTAAAGCCTTGGCCAACCTATTTACATGGTCCAGTCATGTCCAGTCATGGTCCACTCCGTTGTCCACTCCGTTTTGTCTTCCTTCTGTGCTGCTCTGAACTGCTCTGAACTGCTCTCGTCGTTTTCGAGGCATTGACCAGGAGATCTTTACGAACATCTGCAAGCGTGTCCTTGCAAAAACCGGAGGAAAGGACCTTATCAAGGTGATACCGCCGATGGCAACCAAAACATTGACGTATTTGATACATTTTGATACCGTATTTGAGTACCTTTGACGTCCTTTGTTTAACCGTTTTATGTTTACCGTATTTTAGCACAGAGTCACTCAACGGCAGGTCTTCCTACAACCCTTAAGAATCACTAGCATTCAGTGAAAAATGAGAAGGCCTGAGACACCTGTAATGCTTTGCCAAGTATTATCTGCTTACTGAGCATCATGATGATGCAGCATCATGTATGAACCATTACGACATGTCCTGGTCCAGTCCATCTGGAACGTGCAGTTGGTCACGAGAACTTGTTCCCTGTGAGGTGGAATAGCCAAGTCAGCTCCAATGGCAGCACATCACACCACATCCAGGTTCAAGAAACGAGTGTTGGTTCACGCCTGTCATTTGTTTGTACGAGCAAGATGAATTTACAATTCTTGCAGACTAACACTAATTACATACTAATTACATACTCTTCCGAAGGACAATGACGCTTCCAGGTGGAGTGATTGTGCCTGTTCTCGGGGTGCCTGACTCTCTGCCTGGCCGAGGCACACAGGGGGAATCTGTGCACTTTGTTGCAATGCGCTTTTGGTTTCAGGTTCAGTAGGAAACTTTTAAAAAGTCCCAAGCACTGTGAAAGAGAGGTGTTTGGATAATAAATTGTCTTTTGTGAGTTTCCTGTACAACCCTGGACCACTTGCTTTTTTGCCTTGACATGTCCAAAACATAGAGCGCACCTTCTGCATCTCCTGTAGAGCTTTCGCGAGCTCTGCAACCTGGTGTGAAGGCACTAGGCATGAGGTTCACATCAAACAGTTGGACATGGCAGCGACAGTAGTGCCTATCGGGTGCCGTATGAGATGTTCATCAGGCATTCCCCACATAGAATGCTTTTTCGGGGATCAGACCGTGCGTAGAATTTCAGGTGCAAATACTCAACAGGTCAAAAATTGTTCTCAAGCAATTGTCGTGCAACAATCAAAATCAGGCTAAAAAATCAAAAGTCACATCTTTGTGCCTGTGCACGCAGAAGAGTGCAAGGGAAGTTTTAGAGTTTGAATCGGCTGTAAAATTTCGCAAAAGCCCGCACTGTTGATCTGGAGAAGGACCAATGGGAACAGTATCGGAACAGTATCGGAACAGTATCGGAACAGTATAGGAACAGTAGGATCACGTACTGTTGGACAACACGTGGCAACGACAGTGCAACATTACTTCCTTTCCTGAAGAGATGGCCTCCGCACCCAAGGAGGCAACGCGGCGTTGAGCCTCAGACCAGTCGAAAATGTAGATATGATTAAATTATATAGAATAAATTAGATATCTATGATATCATTAAATATATTGATAACATATGATAAAATCATACTAAACATTTGTGATTTTTAATGATGCGTTTGGATATGCCAAGGTTGCCCTAGGCACCATGAAAACACGTCCAAAAAGCAAATTAAAAGCTTCCAAACTTGAAGCAAAATCGTAGCTTCGGTGGGAAACTTCCATGTGGAGAAACTTCCAAACACTGAGGCAGAACAGAAGTCATGACTGTCTGCATGCAACATGAACGCCATCGTTTGTCGCTACTGAATTGTAGCCACTGCGCCCAACTGACATCCAAACCAAAGCTGAACCAACATTAGCAGTGAATGACTCCCACAACCCCAACAACAAGCCTCTTCTGCCCTTTGCAGTGCAGTCACTGCATCCGCCCTGGACAGGTGTGCCAACCAGAGCGAAGTTGGAAATGACGGGGTGGGCAATTTCTATGTTCCATGAATGGGATCCTTGACTGCGTCAACCAAGTTTACATGTTCCTAGTTTATACCAAACCCAAGTTTGACAATTGAAAAGGAATTGAGTATCTCTGTGTAGCTTCGGAGCTGATCTTTTAGGGCCTTGAGGCATTGAGGGCCTTGAGCACTGAAAGTAGCTACAAGATCTTACAAGATCTTACAAAATCTTACAAGTACAAGCATCTCTTGAAAGATCTTGCTGGTAGCTGCTAGCAACTACCAGTGGGTTATGTGAGTTATGAGGCTCTACTTGGCTCTACATGGCTCTGCTTGGCGCTGCTTGGCTCTTGGCTGCCGCACGAAGACTTGGCATCTGCAGCAGCGCTGCTTACCTCACAAGTCGGCAAAAAATCATTAAATTCAAAACGTTTATATAAGCATCATAAACTGAAAACTGCCAAGGAGCAGTGCAAAAAGATGCACAACAATGAATTGGAGAAGGAATCTGTTTTGAATAATTCAGCCATTGGATCTATTATCTTTGAAATCTGAGGATATCTGAGGCTCTCCTTGGACATGGTCACAAAGTGGACCCAATACCCAATGATCCCAATGATACTCAATGTATCATGATGTATCATGATGCATCATGATGTATCATGATGCATCATGATGTATCATGATGTAGCATGATGTATCATGATGTAGCATGCACATCTCTCTCGGGCCTCTGTTGAACCTCAGGGCCAAATTTCAGAAGCAAATAAGTCTGCCATAGTCTGCCAACAGTTCCATGACAGGCCGCGAGGAGGTGAGGGAACATTGGACACTGCAAGAACTGCAACCAATTGCAACCCACAACTTCAGAATCACCTTCAGGATGCGTTTCTGGTGAAGGGCATGTCTTATAGGCATGTCTTGCCAATCTGGCCCATTGGCTCAGATTTGAGGCTGGCACCAAGTGGGTTTGGCAGTGAGGGCACCTGGAACAAGCAATGCGAGCAATGCAACAACAATTATGACACTGATGTACTGTGATACAATGACTCTTTCAATGACTCTTTCAATGACGTTCAGACTGGTGTCATCTCCCTGCAAATTTCACTGCCAACTCTCCAAGTGAGCCTGTCGGAAATCCTCTTGCACGCAGCCCACAGAAGCCTGAAGCCTGGCTGCTGAAGTTTGGTTTGTGTTTCAAAATTTCAAGCAGGCAATTACAAACCTGATCTGCAGAACTTCAGTCCGATTCCAGGAAGAGAATTGCACAATTTGTTTTTCAATTTTCATCAATTTTCCATTCGTCATCCATTGAGTCCGTTGAGCACTACGCCACTACGCCACTACGTCACTACACTACGCTTCAACCCCTTGAAGCGTTGCACGAGCACTGACACCCTACGCTGCAGCGCCGCAGCGCCGCAGCTCTCCAGTCCTCCAGTCCCAGGTGGCAGTGCTCCACCGAGTAAGGCGAGTAAAGCACTGCGGATCACTGCGGATCACTGCGGTATCTAACCCATCAAAAATCGATCTACATCGATCTACCCAAAATGTCAATGTCGCATCAGCTTGGCGTGGTCTTTCGGTGACCAAAGCCTGTCAAATTTCCGGGTGAAACCTTGAGAAGGTCACTCGCATCAAATTCGGCGGGTCTAATATACACAATGTCGAATTGGATGTAGATGGAAGCTGGAATTGAAAAAAATGACTCATGACCGAATCAAAAAAAATGCAAGTCCCTGGTCCACTATCAGGACGTCAAGAGCCCCTCTGCATCTTCACAAGAAAACATCTACAGCCAGGCACAGTCTCTTCCGGATAGACTTCCTTTAAAAGCAACCTTGGACTGATTTTAACTCATGACTCATATCCCTTATGCCATATCCTCAACATGCAGCCTCCATCAGGATGTCATGCAGGATGCAAGCTGTGACCTACAAGCACCAGGCACATAAGATATCCCGAGTAAGAGTGCTTCAGGATATCACTCTTCTCGTGCCATGTCCGCAGGCTGTTTGCCATCGAAAAATGCCTGGCGTAGCAGACTGCGTAAAGAATCGCACTCCGAATCAAACCTCACGGTCTGATCAGTCTGATCCTCATTGTCAGGGCCGTCAGGGATACGGATGATCTCGCCCTTCTCGGGAACTTTCCTGAGCATAAGAAACACCTTATGCTGACACATTGGCTGCGCGGCGTTGAAGCAGAAACTTCATAATATACTTTGCCAAGCCCGCTGCCCCAGACTCCATGAAGGTCCATGAAGTGTGATTCGCTCCAAAACAATTCGTGACCCAGAGAAATTCAAAGATGACTTTGCTCACAAGAGCTCCTTTAGCAAATTTTAGCTTCCCTGGTGCCCAAAAAGCTCTGCGTGCCAAGCATCACTGGGCCTTCTGTCTGAACAGATCCAAACCTGGTGGGGCTGGGCCAATCTTGAGTTCGTTGTAGCTCCACATGGTTCACCCATCTCACACATCACAAAGTCGAAGCGGCCGAAGTCGCACATGTTGAGAGATGTTGATGTTGAGAGATGTCTAGAGATCGACAAAGAACCTATTTGATCCAATAGCAAAAACATGTGGCCCAAGTGGCATAGTCTACAATAATCAATAATCTTCGATTCACACTCAAGGAGCATCTGAAGAGTTGATGGTGACACCTTGATACCCACAACGCTGGAAAGCCCCGTCTCACTCATCTTACCCTTCAATTTAGCCAAATCCTTCATTCCCGCGGGCGTCCAACCCCGTCCCTTAGCTGAGTCATGTCAAGGCGCCAATTCGGATCTTCCGCCAAACCAGCGTCCACTTGTAGACCTTGGGAAGAGAGTCAATCTGGGCGAGATCCTGTATGCTCCTCTTCCAAATTAGTTGAAGATCATGCAAACTCGTCCGACTATAAAAAATTTGGAGATGCCTGGTGGCCTGTCATGAATATTCGTGGCCTGTCATGAATCAAGGCAAACAATTTCACGATTTTGCAGTCTCGGGGTTCCTGCGGATCCAGATGTCATTGCCATTCTCATTGTTGTCATTGCCCTTTTGGAGACAGATGGTACCATGGTGAGCACCTAGCGAACACGTCCAGCTTTAGCGCGAACAATAGAGAAAGTACTGTGTTCTCCACAGGATGGAAGGTGTGAACGGTGTGAAGAATTACTCAATGATTCTGCAGCAGCTCTCCACGTGCCGCAATCAAGTTCAACCTGCCTACTCAAGTTGATTCATGGTTATTCAAACTGGTAGGCTTTGTGACGGTATAATTTGCAGTGGCTTCATTGGGGGATCAAAGCAAAATTGCACACATCCATCCTGAAGCATCTGCACACTTGCCGAGTAGCCGCAACTTCGAGACTGTCTCAACCAGGAAAATGGTCTGAGTTGGAATTCAGCTACCTGTCAAGTTGAAACAAACACCACCACTCCCCAAATTGCATCATCGCTTGATCAGTGGCACAGTCTGGCACAGTTTCCAAGTCTGTTGCAGGGTCAAATCGGTGTCAAATCGGTGTCGAACACTTGAGACAGAGTTGAGACAGAGTTGAGACAGAGTTGAGACAGAGTTGAGACAGAGTTGAGACAGTTGAGCTTAGAGTCTAAAGAGTCTAAAGAGCATGATCCGAAGGCTTCGCAGCTGAGCTCCAACCTGACGGTTTGACTTCAGAAGCCGGATCTGCAACGGCTCCGCCTTAGAGTCTTAGAGAGTCTCGTTTGGGGAGCATTGCAATATGGCCAAAGTCATCGCTCTTGCAACATCTTGCAACATCTTGCAACATCGTGCAACTGTTCCGCTTCTGTTCAGCAACACGAGAACTCTGCGCTTGTCCCTTTCAAGCTTCCGGAGACACCTGCAGACAAATTCGCAATCTTAGGCCAGTTCCATAAGAAAGGGTCGCAGCGATGTTTCAAAGGGCCTGAGCAGAACATAGGCTTTTGTGTTTCTTGAAGCCTGCGAAGCTTGAAATGTGAGGTGAAGATATTCCGTTCACTGAAATGGTTGGAGGGTCACAAGGTGTCACTACCGAGTCACTACCATGACACCGTCACGACACATGAAGAAAGTGAGGCCTGTCAGCGTCGCAACTATGTGCCCAGACCAGTGCGCATCAAAGCTCGATCGGAAGGAGAATGACACGAACGACACAGGCAAAGAGTGCGCTGCACTTTTTGCAGACTGCACCTGCCATGGACAGTAGTATGGCAAAACTGTTGGGATATATGAGATATTATATATATATATAAGAATCATATATATATAACTATATTAGATATTATATAATTATCCTATTTCTTTGCCTTCTAAGACCGTTGCAAAAAGAAACTGATAAAACAAACGGGATGCCACAAATTGTCTTTTCTACTAGAACTCCTAGAAACAGAGCAACATAGTAAACCCCAGTAATTATGACCCATGTACGTCTTTCATTTCGCATCCCTGCAATTTATCTCAAACTGCTGTTCGTCGGGCTCGTGCCTGTCAACATTGCCAACAAACACTGGTGGTAAGAGCACTGTTGTCTCAACAAAGGCAAGCCATTTTGGTACGGTTCTAAAACGTTCTAAATCTCTTCAGTCGTTTCGGATGGCTTTCTCTGCGTTTCAGCTACTGCTGTCAAGTGCATTAGCAAAAAACTTGCACGCCTCGCCCAAAGCGCTGACAAGCACAACGATTTCTGAGCCGTTCAAGCCTCGAGCAGAATGGAAAAGGACAAGAGGACACAAAAGGTGGCAAAACGTTTTGACGTGGAAATGGAAAACCGAAATTCAGACAATGTAAAATGTATTAAAATGTATCAAAATATGGCGAACAAAAAAAACAATTCTTTGAACAAGCGAATGAATTGCGCCTCCAATCTCCAGGATTTCCAACACAACCTCGGCCAGGTCAGACCGGTCAAACGGGTCAAACCCACACTAAGTCACCAAGCGGACTAAGCGGAGTAAGCGGATCAATCGAATGAGCTGTCGAGACCAAAATCCAACACCTCTGGCCACAGGTCACGGTTGTATCGCAAATGACGATGCATCAGCCAGAAGTGGCACATTTGATCCTATGGAAAGAAGTGTTCTAGGTCAAGTGACTGTACATCTTAAGTTCAGCGGGGTAGCGCAGTAGATCCAATGAACCACTTTTTTGTGTGTCGATGACTTTCTGATTCAAAATTTGTTCCCAGGAATTCACAGAAGGAACAGAATCGCTTCCCAAAATGAAGTCTTCGTTACCCGTCTTGTTCGGTACATGGTCGGTAGACCCGGTAGACTTGGGTGTCCCTCGGTGTCCCTCGGTGTCCCCCGGTGTCCCTGCATGGGCGACCAAAGTGCGCCCAGGCATGGCGCAGAGTCGGAGTTGGCACAGGCACTTGAGTTCACAATGGCCGCGATGCAGCAATGCCGCGATGCCGTCAATGTCAGCCCTAATCCTGATATAAATCCTGATCTTTATCAGAGCAAATGGATGCAAATGGCGTGAAGGCTGTACTTGTGACTTCCTCTCGACTTTTTCTTCATGTTGGGAAAATGTAATAAGTGGATGCCTTTGGATCAACCGATCAACCCGGAAGTGGTCAAAGACAGGTAGGTGTGACGTAGAGACAGAGGCAGCTAAGTTCTTGAGCTCCTTGCAGCCACGGAGCTTTACTAAACCCACTCCGACACAAAAAAAAAACTGTCATGCGCCAAACGGTAATGCTATGATAAAAGAATGTTTCACTAAAGAACATGACTGATTGGTCTGTGGATATCAGTGAACCAGTGCGCTATGTTTGTAAGTGGGCTGTGAACAGCACTTGGCATGATCAGCACTTCACATGATCAGTTTTGCTCCTGCTCGTGATTCGAGAGTGTCGTTGCCAATGCCGATGCCTAAGTTGCTATCCCATTGTGTTTGACATTCATCGATGCAGGATTTCCTGGTCTTGAGTTATATAAGTCAAAATGTCCTTTCTTCCCTCTCAAGGTCTCTCTTCGTTGTTCTTTCTTTGACTTTTCAAAACAAGCTTACAAAAGGCACTTCACAAAGGAAACCTGTATTCCTCGGTGGCATTTACATTGAATGTAAAGGCATCTCAGATCCTGGCTGTCTCAGATGGAGCATGTGTTGATCCTGCAAAATGACACCCATCGGAAGACAGCGACTGCAGCACAAGTCTACAAGCTACAGTGTAGCCCGTTGATAATGACTTGTGCTCCCTCTGTTACTTGACAAATATGACCGGTAAATGAGTTCACTCTTGCAAGTCTCACAACCATTGGCAAACTGTGGCAAACAACATCAAACCACCCTCATTCGATGTCATTCTCAGCTCTGAAAGGTTGGTTGCCTGCAGTTGCCTTTGTGCCAATGCCTCCCAGCCTCCAGCTGTGGCAGTTACTTGCGCTTCAAACAGCCTGAGCCCGAGAGCTCACTGTTTCCAAACTGTTTCCAAACTGTTTCCATCGCGATCTGCTTGGCGCAGTGCTTTCAACCGTGGGTGAAAAAACATTAAAACTGTTCGGAGACGTCCGGAAAGCTCTTCCCAGGTCCTGGCTTCAGCCTGAGGCGACTGAGGCGATGAACTGTTGCTGCAGTTTCTTTAGATCCTGCTGCAATTGGAGCGCTCGATCATCCTGACAAACCACAGGTCGGAATAGGTCCGAATAGGTCGGAATCGTGCTCAAAACGAAGAACCTGGATTGAACGGAGATGCTCAGTGTATAGGGACGCTTGAAGTCCCTAATGCTCGAACTTTCTCCACAACTGTTGAATGACAAAATGCGACCATTGGGTTGAGCTTAGACCACCTTCTTTGTTGAATGTTCAAAATTAATCAAAATTCCCCTTTGTTGAATCTAGCTTCACTGTGCAACTTGCAAGGCAACTGCTGAAAGAAGCTGGGAAAAGATCAGATGAATCATGTCACCCAACCTGCTGCTGCGTCAAGGCTGCCAGCTTGGTTTGCAGAGAGGCAACTGGCAGTAAAACTGAAAGACTGGGAGTAAAGTTTGATCAACTTGGCCAATGTCCGAACACAGCGACAAGTTATGACCAGTGTCTTTAAATGTCTTTAGTACAGTGACCACCAGAGCCTCCCTTCCTGGAATTTTGAAATGTCGTTTGGGATTCTTCCAACTAGCTTCTGTTGTCCTATTTGTAAGACAAAAGAAGCATGAACCGGCAGGAAACTTCTCATATTATGAATTATGAAATATGTTTTCTGCGAGCTACTCAAACATACTCAACATCAAATCCTTTGTCTCGTACTTGGCTGTAACTCGATTGGCATACGTTTTCATGCAACTCAAACATCAGTACATTCAGTAGCGACTCTGGTCATGCTAGAGGAGTATCTCTCAAGCTTTCTATCGCTTAAAGTGGGAGCTATTTTTTCGGGATGGCATGACTCAAGAGATCCTACCAGCCTACCACTCCTCGCAGCAAATCACACATTTGTGAAGTGATGGCCGCCTAAATGTTGATCCCTTCATGCCATGTTTTGACTGCCGATATTTTCATGCAGCTCAGCTCAGACATCAAATCTCCTGGCTATCCTGTGACTAAGTCTCTGTGAAGCACCTTCAATGGCGTGCTCTCGAGAAGCTGCCTGCCAATGGCAGTGCACTGATCCAGGAAACTGCCACGATAGAAAACGAAGAGCCCGGACTGAGCGAAGATCAGAGCAGAGTGAAAGGAGTGAAAGGAGTGCAAGGAGTGCAAGGAGTGCAAGAGCTTGCGGGCACTCACATCACTCACTGCTGGGTTTAGTGTTTTGCCGAAGGTCGAGCATCGTCGTGAGTGCTGGATACCTATGTGATGGTTCAGGAGAGACGGTTGAAATAGGTTGAAATCTGTCAAATCCAATGGCAGGCGCCTGAATGTCTTTCTCAACGAAGTCTAGGGCAAAGCTCCTTCGGTTGCTTTCTTCTCCCTGAGAACACATTTGAAATTCACATTTGTTGATTCTTCTGTGCTATCAGTGCTATCAGTGCTATCAGTGCTATCAGCCATCCCGACATCTGAAAAAACTGCCCAAGGACCCAAGGATCAAGCCAATGGATTCAGAAGATCCCTGTGAACTTCTTCCAGAATTCCTCGATCCATCTTTTCCTGGTTCATCGGTTCATCGGTTCATCTGTTTCTTTTTTTGGATACATCAATGATACATCATTGCGCAGGGTGATGCAGTGTGCAGCGTTGCATCTCTCGGACCATGGACCATGGATTGCTGAAGTGGCCGAATCAAACCACATCGTATGCACCCCTAGTATGCACAGCTAAGCATTAAAGTAAGCAGTGAAGTAAATATTGAATAGAGAATGAATGAGAATGAAATCGGAATGATCTTTGTCAATCTTTGTGCAAATCGTGCAATCTACTCAATCTATGGAGGACTCTGCAGGACCTATGATCATCCCATTGATCTACCCACGTCATCCCACGTCGGTAGCGTGGCAGCGGCCGACTCGGGTGAACCTGGCCTCCGATGAGATCTTGGGAGCTTCAACTTGGACTTTCAACCTCGTGGAAACGTTCCGCAGAAAGAATCAGAAAGACATATTACGGGCACTTTAGATTTTACACATGATTGCACTATTTTACACTGCTCTATATATTTCTATATCAATATATTTAATATATTTTAATATACTATGCATCTGCTTGTTTCTTGCTCCATGGCGTGGCTGACTGTATCATTCTTCATTTCATGCAGAGGTGCACCCAGGTAGCTGTTCGATCTCGTCGTTCAGTCGCTGCTCCAAGTCCTGACGACTGTTCCAGTATGCAAACAATGTGTTAAACAGTTTGTTAAACAATGTTAAACGGTTTATTTTTTCAACAGCTTGTTAAACAATGCAGACTGTCCCAGACTGTCCCAGACTGTGCGCGTCTCGCTGCGCTTCGATTTTGTGCCTTGATGAGTCGAAGCAGTTCGGGTGAGGCCGACCTTGACACAGTCGGCAGCCGACAAGGGAGCAGTCAGCCACAAGCCACACTGCCTTGCCCATCCTTGTCCCACCTCGACATACCTCGACCATGTCATACCATGTCTAAGATGTTTCTGAGATGTTCTTACGTTCTGTTCTTACCTTCTCTTACGCTCTGCGTCCTGTCGATGAATTGAAGATCCCAGCTGGCTGTCTGTGGTTTCCAGGTTGCTCATTTGTGCCTCAGGCAATGAATTAAAATCTTTGAAGCTCCCGCTCTTAGTCACAAATTGATGGGATTGCCAAAACTTGCATTTTCAGCATTTTCACTGTCCAGTTCCGAAGCTCCATTACTTACATTTTCACCACATTTTCAACACCATATGTCAAAGTAGGAAAAGTAGGACCATTCCCAAAGCTCAGCACCTCCACAAGCTGAATCCTCTCTGTACACCGTCGAGCATCTAACTGCGCCTATCAACGCTTTGTCGACCACCAAAAAGACGAATGATGCTGCAATGCCAACGAAAAACAGACATCTGCAGAATCTTTCATCATCTTTCATCATCTTTTATCATCTTTCATCATCTTTCATCTCCATGCATCGCACATCCGGCAACTGGGCGTATCTGGCGTATCTCCGGATATTTCCAGCAACACGCACCACCTCTCAGAATCGATCTTTCCCTTTCCCTTCGATCCCTTCGAGACACCTGCTTTGAAGCCATCGCCAAATCATCAAGGCGTTGCGCATCCCCGGTTGATGCAAAGGCAGCAAGGCCCTGGAGGTGAACAAGACATCGCACGTCGGCACTGTAGGCACTGTAGGCAGTGTAGGCTCTGTAGCTTCAGTTTCTCAGAGTTTCTCAGGTTCATCCTATTTTGTCAGTGGATGTCAATGGATGTCAATGGGTATCGACCAAGCAGCGAGAGGGCACATAGTGCAAATCACAGCATGGTTTGAAATTGTTTGAAGTGATTTGTCACTATTTAATATTATTTAATATGGTTTGACATGGCTTGAAAGTTTGAAATGACTAAATCTTTCTGCAATGAATAGAATGAAGTCATTTTGATTGAGTATATTGAAATGATAATCATGATAATATCAGATGATAATATCATACGCATCAGAATTTACTGGATTTTACTGTACTATATGGTACTGTATGAGATAATAATGAGATAATTCGGATGCGACATGATGCGACTCGACAGAATGCGACTCGGAAACCGTGCGCCTTGACGTTGCGCTCCAGGCGCGCAATCCGGGACTCCAACGAGGCACCCCCGGCATTGCTGGCTCCAGAGCCTGTGGAACCTGGTCGCCTCAAAACGCTTGGAAGATCTTGGAAGAAACGGATCTCAAAATGGCGAAACCCAGAATCGAAATGAAACGAATCGAGAAACGACTCGAGATGACTTGAGACTTGAGAAGTTCGAAGTTCGAAGCAGAATATTTCAGGGAAAAAGTTTCCGAGTCGAGAACATTGCGCAGGTCATCTTTGCTTCAGATAGCTCTTGAGATTTTGACACAAGCGACCGGCCAAAAAAGAGTTTCTTTCTTGTGTTCGCTATCTGGGTAGCAGCCCATCAACTTGTTGCTTTAAGCATACAGCTGGATTCTTACCATGCCCAGTGACAAGACGCTCTTTCAAACACGAAAGACTCTAGCTGCTCAGCCGATTGCCTTTGCTCATCTTCGGGCTTTGAGTCGGCACGTTCAGACGCCTAACCCAACCAAGATTAGGCCCAGATCATGGTCACATGGTCACAGTGCCAAACTATCTTTTTGTGCTGAGAAACGCAATGATTGGATCTCTAAAATATGCATCATCTTCAACAAACGAAGACTTTGAGCACTAATTATTTGCTAAGTGTAGAATTCGTACCATTTCTTAGGAGAATCTAATGAATCTATCCATGTGTCACTTCGTTTTTTTTACGATTTGTGCAGTAAATTTTATGCAATTTTGTACCTGGAATCCTCCAAACGCCAAGGCCGTGAGCCGCTCCTGGGAGTCGAGACATGTCGAGACAATGGTCGTGGGATGGCTCTACGCCTTTCACCAAGACTTCACCAAGCTGAGATCTGTTGAGATCTGAGAAATTTGAAAAACCAACCAATTTAAAAAACCGTTTAAGATGTTTAAAACTGTTCTTTAAGCGTCTTTAAGGCATTCAACTGACACAATCCGACCATCAACGATATCAAGCGCCGCCCATTTCCATCGCCCCACGTTTTTTGTTTGTCTCATCGTATCTGGACACTGTTTTGGCTCTGTATGATCTGTGTATTTTGTTCTGTCATGTTTGTTCCATTCTTTCCATCTCCTCGCAAATGCGAAGTCGCTCCCCCAGAGTTGAGGAGTGAACCTAGCCCAAAAGACTCCAATCACTCGGAAACTATGAAATCAAATATATCAAATATATTCAAATATATCAAATGAAATTAAGTGCGAAAAAAAATGAAAGGAGCAAGTTGGAGAAAGTCACTGTCACGACTGCAGTGCGCACCTGCAGCAGCTGCGACAGTTCCTCCGCAGAGTCACCGAGGCGTTGCTGCAGAGACAGCTGAAGCGACTGCACCTCGGTGTCGTCACTAGGCCACTGGGTTCACAGCGAGTCACCGATATAGCAGGGAAATCAAAGGAAATCAAGGGAATAAATATGAAAAAATCAAAGAACAAAAGGTTTTGTAAAAGAAAGGCTCCATCATCTCAATCCACATTCAGCTTCAAATTTGTTCAGGATCAAAGTTTCGCCTCATTGTGATTTTGCCCTGGTTTTTTTCGTTCAGTGTCCCTTTTCAATCCCATGTTCCTCTTTTCTGTCACTTCGCCCCACACTTTGTCTTCCAGGAGGTTCTCAAAGTCTTGCCGCAGGTCCTTCAGAACAACAAGGACTAGTCTTGCAGTCACAAGAGGTCAAAACCGTCTTGTCAGTTTTATGCCATGTTATGCCATTTTACGCCCCCTCTCTCAAAATTTAAGGTGGTTGCCAGGTTGCTTTCAATTTAACGCCTGTGTCAGTAATGCGCAAGCATTTTCAAGCGATCACGAGGCACCTTTGGTCGGCAAGACATTGTCACATCCGTGAAACACTTCCGAGAAAGACCTCGTAACTATACACATCGTCTCTACTACACTATTCCACTATTTGTGTTATTCTTCGTATGTGACACTTCAACCATTTCAATATATTTCAATCATTCCCTTTCGGTAGACTGCACGCAGCTCGCTCGGCGCATTTGGCGTGCTTGGCACACGGCCAAAACGTACAGCCGTGGAGCACAGCAGAGCTCAACGGCTCGCAACGGCACCCTTTGAAAATCTCGTATCTTAATGTCTTGATGTCTTGATGTCTTGATTGTATCTTATTTGCTGGTCACAGCAGCTTCTTGGCGAAGTTCCAAAGAGCGCTTTGAACCTGGGAAGTCATGGTGTGAGCAACGACAGTCCCAACACAAAAGGACTTCGCCAGTGACCTCTCTGTTCGGGGACAGATGGTTGTGCCATCTTGCATAGCTCCATGCTCCAAGCTCAACCAAATTCAACCAATGTTTAGCCAATATTTAGCCAGGCCCTGAGGAGTCAACCTCTGCATTGCTGGGATCATCGTGACCACCTGCATAGAGAAGGACACTGCCATGCTTCGCACCTAAGATGCCAAAAATGTTCGGAAATTCTGCTGGCATCTGGCAGACATCTCGAGAGCAATGCAATGACCATTCTCACTCAAAAATATGTCATTGCGCTTGTCTAGAATGTGCGTGGCTAAACCCTTGGTTTTAATTTCAAAGGTGGTGCTGACATGTGCCAAATGTCAATGCCACGTAGTTTTACAAGTGTAGGAACATGTGAAACTCGTAGCTTTAATTCCACTGCATTCCCTGTCCAAGTACAACAGCGTAACACGACATACCACGACATACCAAGATCTGGCTCTTGGAGTTTCCAAGGCACAGCGCATCAGTTGTTGCGCGTTGTCAGGATCGACAGTACCTTTGCAATCTTGAAGTATCGTGAAGCCAACAAATTCACAACCCAATCAAGAAGGCGAACCAACCTTTACGCCTACGCGCAAAATTTTTGCCAAGCCATTATATCCTGCATCTGTCCTCAACAAGGAGGGTACACCGACTTTGTACTTCACATCTGGCTACATCTGGAAAGAAGTCAAAGCCAGCCCACTTCACTACGTCACCATGTTGAGTACCGTGACAAGCTGGCAAGTTGCGGTCAGACTTTCCGTGCAAGATCAGAACTGGAAGCGAAATCTGTTTCAGACTGTCCTCAGTGCTCTCCCCAATTCATTCCGCCTTCACATTGATTCCCTGAAGACACCAAAATACACCAAAATACACATAGATACAGCATTGGTGTTTGCCAAACTATTCTCTCCTTTAAAAGAGTTTGCAGCAAGCTATGCAGGCTATGCAGCTATCATCTCTATTCTCCTTCAAGCTTCAGCAGGCCGCACATCATGTGGGTCATACCCAGCAAGGAGTCCAACAAGGTGGAAACTGGCTGAAGACCTCACTTGACTCGACTTAGACTCGACCTAGACTCGACTTCTCACCCGTTCTCACCAACAACAAACATGTTTGTATCCAATATCACAATTGTTGCATTCGAATGACACTTGTGTGAGCTGCTGTTTTGGCACCCACCACTTTTCATTTGATGTGACGCCAATCAGGATCACAACAACAACATACAACAACCAATTCATCTCCGATTTGATGTTCAAGGATCTGATGTGATCTCCCGTTGGTTTTCTCATGTTTCTCATGTCATTCCTCCTTTTGGCTGCAAAAAGCCAGAAGATCCAGAAGGACTACTGAGTGACTATTGCTACAGCTGCTACCGACAATCAACCAGGAGCTACACACTTTCAAGTACACCGAGACGACTGAGACGACTCTGAGACGACTTTCTCATCTCAGATTTCTGTGACAAGTCACACAAGATTCCGTAGGAACCTTGGCATCCACCATGCCTTGGCTCAGAATCAGTCAAAAAATGAAGGTTTTGGTATTCAGAAGGTGTCAATGGTGAAATGAGACGCCAAAAGTGCAGCTTTTGACCAAACCAAGAAAATCTGAATCCTGAACTTGAAATCATTGTGTAGAGAACTACAGGTACACGTGTGACTTGTTCATATCATGTACCTGCCAAAGACCTGCACAAAAATACTGGAAAGTGTCCGCAATCCTTGAAAAGTCTGACACAGAGTCAGCCAAGATCAGCCAAGGCGCATTCCTCGTGACCAAATCACTGAAGATGTCACGGAAATTCGCAAAGGTTCCATCAGTGATGATACCCTTCACCACAGCATTGGGATGGTGCGCCTCTGACTCATTTGCAGCGATGGGCCAAGGGTCAAAAAGCTCGAAACCAAAGATGTCTTTTCTGCCGCAGCCGGCGAACTACAAAGTCGCTAAAGTGACTGGCATGCGCAAGGTCAACAGTTGGAGGCATTGGAAATTGATACTGTCCTGCCTGAGAGATGAGAGCAGCGGCACCACCCATACCTCGCAGGTAACTTCTCCATTTCGGTAATGTGGAACCGCAATCGCTTCTCTTTGAATTCTGGTTTCCCTTCCACAAACGCAACAGGTGCCTCAGGTGCCCCAAAAAATTGTTTTCTTCCAAACTGTCATCGGAACCAATAGCATGTTGAAGGCGAACAAGGAAATCATCCCAAGGCAAAAGCTCTCTCCATCTAGGATAGCTTGGAAAGAAAGAATCCAGTGGATCTGATGGGTCGGCTTGGTCTTCAGCTGTAGGTCTAGGGGTCTAGGTTTAGTTTAGGTCCTTAGGTCCTATCCAAGCTGTTCTGTCAAAGGTGCTGCAGCCGTAGAGTAGCACTCTCTGAAAACCTTCCTGCTGCAGAGCATCGATTGCCTCAGCGATGACGTTCCTTGTCCTGTTGCAATGGATTCGGTACTCGTGGCAAAAGTGATTACAGCGTCTTTGACCTACCCACTTGATATCAGGTCCAGAAGGTGCTTCTCAGGTTTTCACTTTCACCGGACCTAGGCTTCACGTAGCCTTCACCATGCCTTCACCCAGTACTTCCACTTCCCATACTTGGTGACTGACTTCCCTCACTTCCTTCCCTTGTCTCGGCTGAGTGACGTGCTTGACAGTGGCTGCTTCGCGCCAGCCCAATGTCGTGGTGCCGTAGGCATTGGCCTGAAGCGCGCAGTAAAGAGACGATATTGGCATGTCACAAACATCACGTACGTCACAAATGTCGCGGGGTTGACAAGCAACAAAATGATAGCTGACATGAACATATATGAACAATACAATGGCTGTGTAGTCTAGTTCACATTTCTTAAAAGCTTCTCCGTTTAGGTTTCTCACTCCATGGCCCAAGAAGTCGAAGACCAGCACAGTGTAGTCCGGTGCCAAAGAGCAAATTAAAGGCCGCAAGTGACCCTGACAGGTCGAAGCGAAGCTTAGGGTCTCTGTTGGATTCTATCCTTAACATATCTTAACTCTTCTTAACTCTTAACCTGGCCTACTGTCAATGTCTGTCAAGACTCAAGAGTAAAATGTGACCAATACCGAACAATGCCGACTAAGATCGACCGATACCTGTGACATCAGTTGATAGAGTATCGGTCGTTGACCTCTCACGTGCAGGTCCTGAAGGCCTTGTTCTTTGAGCGACCATGGCAAAGACAGATTGCTGCATCTCCTGCTCAAAATATTTCAAATAGATTTCCAAAGTGTTCAAAGCAAAAATTGCTTTTATACAACCCCTCCAAAACTGCAGTGCTTCACATCTGGCAACCAGAATACTATTGAACCTGATTGTCAGTGAATCTACAACTACCAAACTTTCTAAATTTTCTAAACGTTCTAAACATGCAATGCACAGAAACCAATTTGCAAAATAAGGAGAACCCTGCGCTGCTCCTGATTTTCCTGGCAATAACCACGCTTTGGCACCATCTCTCAAGCACATCTCCTTGTATTTGAGACCATCATCCCTTGGAGTCCAACGATCCTGGATCGTTGGAGGACGGAGAGCTCAGGTATACAGTATAATATAGTCGTAATTTACTGATAATATAGTAGCTTATAGTAATAATGTAGTAATTTACAGTATAATGATGTATGAGTACAAGCTCAAAAGGATCAAAAGGCCTGAAACCTAAGCGGTTTTTCTAATGGGTTTTTGAGATGCCAATGTAACATGCTTGATCTTCCAATGATCACAGAAACTCCTGACGCCATTGCTGTCGTCTGCGTCCTGGCGGAGGTATAGCCACGGCTTCGGGAAGGCTCCGAAGAAGGCCACAACGGTCACGAGGCTCGCACCGCTCAACGCGGCTGCAGAAGTCACCTTCCCGGCCTCAAAGCGAAGTTCAGAGAACGCCTTCTCTACGCATTTCGCACAAAGTTGAGAAAAGGATAGAAAAGGCGCAAAGAATCACAAAGAATCACAAAGAATCACAAAGAATCACAAAGAATCACAAAGGGAAAAGTTCACCAAAGTTTTCCCCGACGTCATCAGAAGTTGATCATTATGACAAAGTTCTGGACACAAGTACTCTGATGTTGGAAAGACAATTTGTCCGATCCAAAATGCAAGAAGAACGACAGATGGAGTACAATGAGTGTTTCCGCATAAGCATCATTTCAAAATTTCAGGCATTTTTTGGCTAAAGATTTCAAATGAAATGTGATCATCTTCTGCCCTCTTCTCTTCGTTTTCTTTCTTTGTCTTCTTTGCCTTCTCTCAATTCTGATTGATTGGGTGAAGCCACAGTTTCACCAATGGATTCACACTCAAGGTCAGCCAGGCCACGAGTGCAGCTGCACGCGTAAGGGACCATCCATAGCCAGGCCAAGACATGTCGCGGCTGAAACAAACTTGAGAAGTTCTCAGAAGATCTCAGAAGATCTCAGAAGTGTTGGAGTTTTCTTGCAGCACCGTACCCGGCGCGCACATACACACACCAAAAGATGGATGTCTAAGTGCCCCTTTATGGAGAGTTACATTCTGCATTCTGAATATCTGAATACTCTATCATGCGCTGTGAAGTTCTTGTCACTTTGAGCTACCACAACTTCTTGTCACTTTAGGCCGCTGCCGTGAAACAAACGTGCCTCGAGTACTCTCAGCACTTCCCTTACATGTACCCAAGATGAATCAAATGGGGTGCCCCCCAATGATAAAGATGTCCTCCTCAATCAAAAAAAACACCATCCAAAATTAACCACCCTAGGAGTTCTAACGCACATGAAATCAGGTAGCTGACGCTGCCATATCTTCATGGCAGCATGACACCATCTTGCATTGCATGTACAATTTGGATCTGGTGGAAGAGGTATTGTTGATGCAAGTGACTGATTCGCAAATCAATGAAAAAAAGGGTCCAAAGATCAAACATTGACTTGAACATTCTGCTTTTGCTGCACGTTGCTTCAAGTTTCCGTAAGTGCTCCTGCTTCACCATGTCCAAGTCCTTCGCTTCCGTTGGCGCCTGAGGTGCTCGCTAAGAAGCTTTGGTCTAAATAATTTGAGATCAACACAAAAGCAAAGATAGCAAAGTCAAATAAAATTGTCATTCATTGCTTTCAAATGTTGTAATATTAAATCACCCAAAGTGTTGTGAAGTGACGGGTCTTTGGCATCTTTGGCATGAACCATGATTGTGAACTATGTGAACTTACTTGCTCCCATTCCACTCAAATGTCACCTTGCCAAACAGGTTGGCAGGGATCTCCCTGTGTGATCAACTCTACTGATTCACACTTTCAGCATCTTTCAGCATCTTTCAGCATCTTTCAGCATCTTTCAGCATCTTTCAGCATCTTTAAACTTTAGGTCGCTGGCAGGTGGTACAGACGCCACGTGGACCTAGGACATTTGGCAAGAGTGCGCGTCATGCTGGGCTCAGGCCAAATCAATGAACCAAGGCAAGAAATGAGAAAGGATCTTGGAATAGAAATGATAATGAATGCATATTGGAATTTTGAGCAAAGCAAACATTTCTTTGGAGGTTTGTACTATTCAGGTACTCAGTAGATTTGTAAAAGATTTTCAGTAGTACTGCCAGTAGTACTTGTCAGTGTTTTTGTTTATTTTTTGTTGCATTTTATAATTTTTATAGCTCTACTCTCTCTACTTGGATGCCTTGGATGTCTTGGATGTCGCACCTCGGTGTCTCTTTGCAATAGCTGCTCTTCCCGCCACAAGTCCACACGTCTCTCTAGCCTTGGGTCCACCGTTCAACGAATATCATACCGTGAATGCCATTAATGTCGTGGATGTGAATGTCATGTGATCACTGTGTGATCACTGTGTGATCACTGTGTGATCACTGTGTGATCCCAGTCATCTCTGGTTTCTTCTGATCTGACAGCCAGAATCGCAAGTTCTGGGAGTCCCTTTCGCTCGAAGTTGCTCGCCCAGATCAACGTTGCTCCTACACAAACACGCACTGGCAGTCTGTTCCCTCGTAAAAGGACGCAACGACTGACTGACCTTTAGTAAACTTTAGTCCCCTTTAAACTTCATTAATCTCAAAAAAATGTCAGCTTGCAAAAGAAAGATGTGAAGCAGCACCAGCCACAACGCGACATGCTTCCCCCTGCAGCCAAGCAACTCATCAGTGGCAGGCCTATGCCAGTGCGAGAAGGACCGCGCTTGGAACCCGTCCCTGATGGTTTAAGGAGGTGGGATGCCAGTCTCAAATTCCTATGCCATACCCACATATAATATCATATAATTATATAATCGTCTCTTTCAAAAAAAATGTCCAACACCTTTTTGAATAACTTGTAGTTTTTTGCTGCATCCGCCTCTCAGGATCAGCAGGTGCAGCTGCCTGACACGACCACTATGCTTGAATCCTGCTGATTTGTGACGTATCGTTGAACTTTCCGGACATTTCTCTAGAATTTCACATATTTCCAGGTCGTAGATCTGTTCCTGATCCGACCTCTAGACCCTCCAGGCGTCTGCGCAGTTCCCGGGTTTCACCACGTAGCTCCTGCGGAAACTGTCCGAACGTGACCAAGGAACCAACATGCCAACATGAACCAACATGAACCAACATGAACCAACATCCAATTGTAAATTCGATTTGCAAATTGTGCAAATCCATCCTGATCACTTTGTGGAGTCATGCTTCATCATGGAGCTTTCTGAACTTTTTTCATCTCAGATTACTGGGCCATCTTTCGAAGCTTGCAACCCCCAAGTCGCGACAAGCCATCACAGTGCACAGCACCTGCGCTTGAGACTCCCACTGTTGCTTCTCAGCCTGACCAAATCCAAAGATATCCAAATCATGTCAGAGATGCATCATGACAACTACCAAAAAGAATATATAGTAATATAGATTTGGTTTTGGGAGTTGCAACTGTTTGATGATGTTTGATGTTGTTTGTAGGTTGGCGATTTGCATTTTTACGGCTATAAAATTCAAACGTCTTGATTTTCAGATTCCAGGAACATCCTGTGCTGCTCACACTGCTCCGACCTCCAAATTCGATGCGAAGCCTCTGACCACCTGGAACAGAGCGATGAATTCTCCTTTTCTCTTGTTTTGTGACGCATTGGAATTTCAGAAGAAAAACACAATGTCTCAATATGTCTCATTGTTAACAGAAACACAAGGATCCCTCTCCCCGCTTTTCTCTCTGAGTCCACGGACGCTGTGCAACCAGCTCACCACACCTTGCCTCAAACGCGGAATCTCGACATCAACGTTTCCACAAGTATGTCATCCAAAAAGCTTCCGAGGGGTCATCAAAGTTCAACCATACTTGGACAGCGATCAAATCGGCTAAACATGTTGAGCCTAATCGACCCGCATGAGCCGTATGAGACCGGGCAACCCAAGGACCCGAGCAAGCTGGAGCTCTTGAGACTGACCAAGGGCTCGCTCAAACTGGGCCTCGGATGTGTGACTTTGTGTGACGTTGTGTGACGAGTTAATAACCTGCAAACCCGAGACATCCAAGACATGCAAGACACAGAGCAACACTTGCAACACTTCTGAAACTGGTGGAGGAAAGCTGAGTGGGGAATTGTCAAAGTGATCAAAGCGCGTTGCTCCCAACACAGGCTTCAAGCAGCGGCGTCACATAGCCCATGTTTGAAATCACAACCACCCATTACTGCAGTCACATGTTGAGAGCCTCTTCAATTGAAAAACTGTCGCTGAGTTGCTGCAGGATAGACAGTAGGGAATCGACAAGCAAAAACACATTCCAATTAAATCATACGTGTGTATGTTATTTGGGATCTTGAAGCTTTCGATTGTTCTCCGGCACGTGCAGCATTTTGACGAGCTGTCACAAAAACCACTGGACAATAAAACACAATCATTCATACATGATTCATATATCATTTGAGAATTCCACCAACATGAACCTAAAGGAAGATTGCTTTCCACAAGCCCGTAAGGGGGGGGGGGCTCTTTTCACGAAATCTCCCACGAGCCGGCACCCTTCAGCTTTGCGCATGAAGAACTGCATGGTTCGATCTGTTAAAGTTATGACTTTGCATCACAGCATGAATTTTCTGTCGTGATTTCTCGACACAGAATAAATCAGAATAATCACCTTCAGCGTTTCAACGTGTAAATGAGTCACATGCCAGGTATCTCTGTAGTTTGTGAATTGCGTCCCACACGGACTCTGGACCCGTGGAAGTGCCATGGCTCAAGGACGTGCCAGGTCACCTTCACGGCAGAAATGCCAGAGATCTGACGATGTGTTGTACATGTGATACATGGGTACCCACATGTGAAAAGCAATCTGCAACACACTCACACACTCTCACACTCACGCACACACTGACAGAGATGTGTTGATTGTGCATGATGCAGTTGATGCAGATGATACAGTCGATGCAGTCGATGCAGTTGATGCAGTTGATGAAAACATTGTCACATCTTGGGCTTGCAGAGCTACGAGATGCCACGAGGCTGCGCTAAGTTCCACAGCAATCCCATGCAATCCCTTCACACCAGTCCCGCGTTGTCCTGGTGAATTTCAAACCCGCTACAATGGTGACTTCTGATTCTGTCTCTCTCTCTCTCTCTCTCTCTCTCAAGGTCACAAGGAAACCAAAGAATCTGCTGGAAATCACGCTGTTTTTGCAGTTGATGTGCCATTGATCTTCGAAGAGCGCAATTTCACTGGCTAAACCTTTATGCTGAGCTGCATATATCAAAGTATTTAGACTCGTCTGGTGGATCTTTCTTAACAATTGACCGCTCACAGCAAGTGAGGCAGCTCTGCTTCATCAAAAATCACAGAACAGCTTCAACTGCGTGATTGCCGTGCAGTGCCCGTTTCAACCAGAGCTTCCCTCTATCGAGTTCTCAATTGGTGAATCAATACGTCACTCATTTTTGGAGGAAATCCGAACACAACATAACACAACATAACACAACATAACACAACATAACACAACGAGTTCAAAGAAATCAAAAAAAGGATCCAAAGAGTCTGATAGCAGGGCCGGCAATCCAACGCGTTCACACGTGTCACGCACAGGCGTGCTACTTGCGCAACCCGGTCTCATCTCAATGGTGGTGGCCGCCCTGCCAGACCAAGAGCTGGGATGAGATATAGTGAGATATAGTGAGTTTAGACTCTGAAGTAGACTCTGAAGTCCGTGCACCAGCTCGAAGTTCGAAGATGCAAGGTGCTGCAACATTCAGAAACATTCGGAAACTGGCAATCCTTCAGTTCAACATAGATCAACATAGTTATACAACGTGATACTAGTATAGTATAATCTTAAACATTCTTAAACTATCAGCAACTGTTATTGTTCAACCATGTTAAAACATGTTAAAACCAAAACATCTTAAAACCTTCTAAAAGCACAGA